ACCTGCCAGGTGAGAATCTCCTCTACCAACGGCCCTCACTGTTACCAGCTGCCTGGCCCTGGGAAACCCTGCTGGGTTCTGCCCCACCTTGCTCCCGGGGGGCCCCAGGTCCCTCTCTTGCTTCCTGCCCTGGATCTCGGCGTTGCTGGTCCCCGAGGCTGCTGGTCCCCGAGGCTGCTGGTCTAAGGTGAAGGTCTGGATTTCTCTTACTGGTTTTCAATTCTTCAGGACTTCAAAGCAGGATCGACCTGAACGTCGGGCATTTGGCATTGTGAACGCCCAAGTACTGCCAGGCAAACATGTCCTTCTGCCCTGGATTCAGTCCCTGTGCTGTGGCTATTTAGGAACTACAGGCTGAAGTAAAAGGAGAAAAGGCTCTCACTTTCAGATGTCTTCAGAAAAAAAGCCAACCATTTTCTAACAAGATGCCTTAGAAAGAAGCAGGTTGATTTCACAAGGTGAGAAGCACCCTAATACAGAGCACGCTTTGTGAGCTCTTTTTAAAACTGCCTTCCTACTTCCTGGGTGCGGCAGGATGATGGGCAGGTGTTTTCCTCCTCATTCTCAGATTCATTCATTCCCTTGCAGAAAGACTGCGCACCTGCTGTTCCCCCGTTCTGGAGGGCCCCCCTCCAGTTCCCCCGGAGAACTGAGACGCTGCTCCTGCCTTCCCTCAGGCGGCTCCCGAGCCCTCCAAGCAGAGGGTCTCCTCCTCTGTCCCCATGACCCTCCTGCTGCCTGCACAGATGGAGGCCCTCTCAAGGCTGGGTCTGTGTGGGCCCCCCTCTGCCCAGAGCAGCGTGGAACTGAGTCTGACTGAGCCAGGACATCTCGAGGGGGAGAGTGGGGTGGAAGAACCCGGAATCGAGCGGGAACAGCCTCCACCTATGGAGTCCTTGGGGATCTGGCATGGCACCCCTACCCCTCCCACCCTCACCCCCACCCCAGCAGCCCCGAGAACCTGCAAGCTCCAGAAGGGACATCAGATTCCTGGCCCAAGGAGGGCTCTGGAATGTGAGGGGCCAGGCCTTCTTCCTGGGCACCCCAGAAACAAGCGCTCTATTTACAGTGAGGACGTTGGGGCTCCAGGAGGAAGAGCTGCCCGCCCTGAACCCCATTTCAGGGAAAGCAAACCCACCTGACCCCCTGATTGGATTAGGGTGGGTTCTTCGGGTCTTTTGCTGTCTCCAAGCGCCCTCTGTTGGCTACGGAGAAACAGAGCTTTTAGGACATGATGTTTTCCAGCCATGAGCTCAGATGCACACAAAATTTCATTTTGTTTTTCTAGATCTCGATGTAATTCCTGTTAGAAGCTCCCAATCAACTCAGGTAGCTCAGCATGACTTTCCTCCTCCACCAGTGTCGCCTCAGGTGGCATCTAGGTTCTGGCCAGAGCTGTGGGAGAGGCTGGTGTCACCTCTGTCCTGTTGGCAAGGCTCTTCCGGACGCACTTACCTCTCTGCTCCCAGGTAATGTGCGGAGTGATACCCACATCTGCCTGAGGCCAGGTCCTTCGGCACCTCCTGGGCTTCTCCATGGAGACGCCTCCGCTGCCGTTTCTGCCTCCTCACTTCTCCATGCAGTCCCCGTCCTGTGATGGGGGTGAGGTGTGGGGAGGGGCTCTAGAACACCCTCACTTCCCCAGGCCCTGCCAAATGAGTTCATCTGTCCTTGGAGCCCCAAGCTCATCGGAGACTTCTCCTATAACCTTGGCCGTGGCCCACAGACAGGGGGAGGAGAAAGGCCCCCACACCTGTTCAGTGCTGGCATCCCTCTCCAACTCCCACCGCCTGGGCATCTGTGTGAAGTCCTTGTCCTTTGTGCTTGGCAAGCAGGAGTAGCAGAGGAGTAAGTCGTGAAAAGAGAAACTTTCACCAACTTGATGCTTTAAAAATTCAAAAATATATTCTTTCTTAAAGAGAGAAAGAAACTGGCTCCACGAGTCTCCTTCCAAACCTTTGGTCTCATACCAAAACGTATACTGCACTTTGTCCTTCCTCATATTTGAAAACCAAGAATTTTATTGTCTTTGTTTTCTGGTCTCATCAAATGCCTCTTTGACAACTTCTCCCTCAGGCCATGGTGTCCTCTGGTTGACCTTCCTCAGCTGGGAGAAGGGCTTGGGACACAGATGAAGAAATTCGACATAGAACAGGGAAGATGCCCCAAACTACCATAAACATCCTTCGGTCACACTCAGGAGACAGGGAATGCCTTCTAGGGTTTACAGAACATGTGTCAGTAGAGGGCATCAGAGGGCTTCCTGACTTTTCAGATTAACTCATTCCTCCACTTAAAAAAACACTTTTTTTCCTAAGTTTTATTCTTCACTTTTCCTGAAAACACTTCAAAGTGAATTGCAGACCCCAAGCCCCTTGGTCTTAATCCTTTAGCTCCTGGGAAATAGGACATGCCCTGCCTATCCACAGTGCAATGACCGAATTCAGGAAATGTCACACCCAGACAATTTTAGAAACACATGGTGTATATTCCGATTTCTCTGATGACTGTCCCAACATTGTCTTCGCTCCGGCATCCAATTCAGATCACGAGTCGCGTCCGCTGGCTTGTCACTTCAGCCTCCTCTCATCCAGAACAGTTCCTCCCTCTTTGTCATGACACTGACAATTGTTTAAGGGTGGGTACATTGTTTTATAAGATGATAAATGTCCCTCGGTTTGTCACCCTCCTGATTCAGGTTCTGCATTTGTGGCAGAACGGCACAGCGTGGCGTGGGTCCCTCCCAGCACATCTCGTAACAGGAGGTGTCTTCCAGCCGTTTGTCCCACCTTGGGTAACATTAAATTTTATGACTTGTTTACAGTGGCGTACTGCACAGAGTTGTCCACTGCAAGGATATCTTCCCTGCTTTGTAAATTAGCAAGAATTCTGTGGGAAGAGACAAAGGTGTGAATATCCAGCTGCCTAACAAATTCTCACCCAGTGGTTTTCACACCATTGTTGTCTGAATTGTTAGTATTATGGTTGCAAAACTGTTGTTTTTCTGATTCTCTTGTCCCTTCCGTATCTGCCATTCACCTTCCTTCTGCTGTAAGGAAGGGCTTAGAGGAAAGCATTCCAGGCGCCCCTTTCTATCCTCCCTCTGCTTGGAATGCCTTTCCCACTTGGCAAACCCTGGCAGCCCAGATCCAGGCTCAGCCTCCCTCTGCCCCTGCTGGGCAGTTAAACCCACCCACTCTCTCTCTCTTCCCTTCGAGTAAGATGGGCTGCAGCTGCCTGCCTTCTTAGAGCCCCTGAGACAAGGAGAGACTGGAAAGCGGAACCCCCTCCCACAGCAGAACTCCCACCCAAACTCCGCCTGGTCTAGTGCGGCGGGCCTCAGACTTTGGTGAGAGTCACCTTGAGGGCTTGTTACAACACCGATACCTGGGCCCCAGACCTGGGATTCCAATGCGCTATCGAAAAATCCTACTGGCTTAGCAACAAAGTTGTTTCTCCTTCAGGTTACACGGCAACCAGGTTGGCAGGAAGCTGTGGGCCACACACCTGGGGACCCAGGATAATGGAGAGGCCACCACTTCAATACGTGGTTTGAAAGAGAGGCCACAGAGTCCCGTGTGGATGTTCCTCTGCTTATTGCCCACTGGTCAGAACTAACCATGTGACCTGCCCAGCTGCAATGGCTGGGAAATGGGGATCAGGGAGATCATTTGCTGAGCCCCGTGACTTCTGCCAGCAGCCACTGCCACACAGGCCTCCTCCCTGTTCTCAAGGGCGCCAAAGTGCTTTTCTGCCTCCGCGCCTTCACACCAGCTGCTGTCTGTGCCGCAATGCCTGTGCCAGCTCTCACATGCTTCACTCAGTGGCCCTCCCTGGAGTGGCCTCCTCAGACTGTCCAATCCAAAGCCCACCCGCTCCTTCACACGCCCTGTTTTAATTCTCCGCACAGCCCTTGTTATTCTACGCTGTGTTCTCACACCCCCTGTACAGCAGAGCTGGCTCACTTGCTCACCCCCAGCACCTACGACGCCTGGCACATGGCGGGCACTCCGAACACATTTACTCAACTCTTAACTCTAAGGTGCATTACTATTTTCCTGTCACAGGTTAAAAAAAAATGGAGGACCTAAAGAGGATGCGTGGCTCGCCCAAGGGCACACCACCGCCAAACGGTCGGCACCTGGCTTCAGACCCACGACAACGCGTCTTCCAGCAGCGTTTGTCTGCCTGATCTCACTGCTCGCGAGCACTGAGCGGGCAGAATGTTTTTTTTCCTTTTGTCCTCCTCACTCTTCTCCATCTGCTGGACCTCCACTGTCCTTGGGTGTCTCAGCCCAACGCTATGGAAGGCAATTTGCCAACATTCGTCTAGTTTACTCCACAGATGTGCTCACAGATGGGACGATCACATACATGCAAGGTTTGTCACTGCAGCACTGTGACAGCAAAAGATTAGAACCCAGTGACACCAAGCACAGCGGCTCACACCTATCTCAGTGCTTTGGGAGGCTGAGGCAGGAGGATCGCTTGAGCCCAGGACTTCAACACAGTGAGGCCCCACGTCTACAAAAATGCAAAATAAATAAAAATTAGCTGTGCATGGTGGCACACACCTACGGTTCCAGCTACTTGGGAGGCTGAGGCAGCAGTACCACTTGATCCCAGGAGGTCAAGGTGCAGTGAGCCATGTTTGTGCCACTGCACTGCAGCCTGGGCAATGGAGTGAGATCTTGTCTCAGAAAAAAAAAAAAAAATCCCAGTAACCATCTGTAAGGGACAGTTCATAAGGGTATGTAAATATTCACAGTGGGAATATACACTCAGTGGAATAGCACACAGCCCTGAAAAGCGAGGGACATCTTCAGAGTCTGACTGAAAAGTTGTCTAAGGCATATCATGCTGAAAGAAAGAAAGCATGCAACAGCATGTAACGTATACACCTTTCATTTAATTTTCTGCTAAACACTTTCAAGTCTTACATAACGAGATCGTCTCCTTGATGAAAAGATAAAAACAAAATACAAATCCAAATACCAGTGTGGTTTCCATCATTTGAACTTATTTTATTGATACTCGTCAGCAAATGAAATTGTGTTGATTTCTGATGCATTACAACACACTTTTTGGTAGTGGTTGCACAACGGTGACTATTTACTATAGTAAATGTTGCACCCTCTGAACTGCCCATTTCCGCACGGTATTTCCGGCAATGATGAGCGGCTCCTCTATCTCAATACGTGGACTGGTCCATTCAGTCTGTGATTTTTATATTCCTTTGTTACTCTACCTACTGCTTTAAAATACATTCAGATAAAAAGATATAAGTTACTTGCCGTGAGTGCACACATACAACAGTCAGGACAGCTGAGAACATAATGAACCAATACTCTTGTGTTCAGAGAATAAATAGTCTGAAACCGTGGGACTGAAGCTTGCTCCTTAGGGGCTTTATCCTTGGTGGGCATGAGGTTACCCTCACTCAGTGGAAGGATGCATCTTCTGCTGGTGGGGCGGACACAGAACGACAGTTTCATTTATGTGGGATGTTTTCCTTCCATAAATGTCTGGAACACGGTGTCACGGGACCCCATGATGTACAGTGCAGCCCTGACATTAGAATCACTAAGTTATGTGGTTGGACTGGGATGCCATGGACACACTATGACTGGAACTGGAAGGACAGAAAATGTTTATTTAAAACACGGCAGACAAATAATAAATGAAAGTTTAAAACCAAATCAGTGACAGCAACAGGACCAGCCTCCTGGTTCTCTTCACAAGCACCTGTGTCTTTTCCTCAGGGTCGAAAGTGGAACAAGGAGACAAAAGGCTTTGCAGGGAAAGAAAACACCTGTGGTGACCGTGTGCTGCTGTCATACAAGAAGGCAGAACATGTGGGCACCGAATGGCACGATCAGAGACCGCACGCGACCGCACCCCGGCCGGCCTCGGGGTCCAGAGGAGGCGCTGGAGCCAGCGGAATGCCCAAGCCTTGTTCTCCCTGGAGCCAGTTTGGTATTGTGCCTGCTTGTGGCTCTTCCCCTCTGCTTTTGGTGTCGACAAATTTCTTTAATAAGCTTTTCCCCTATCCTTTTTCCTTTTAATCCTATTGTTAAAGGTGTCTTGGGTCTGGTCTTAAATCGATTTGGTTGTGACACCGGGTCCCAGAAAAAGCTGCTGTCTCCTTAGTGGCTTGGTGTGTTTGAAATGCATATTTGAACCACATAGAGAACATACACTATCAGTACCATGACTTCCCTGCATATTTCAAAAAAAAAAAAAAAAGGAAAAATAAAACAGATCACACACAACACGGACGGGCTGCTGAACGACGCAGCAGGACCATAAATACATTCTCTCAGGTCGGACATCGGGCCTGACAGCTGCTCACAAAACACAGGATGACCTCAAGGGAAAGGCATGAAAACAAAAGGTCACACCTCAGAAAAGAAACGACTGTCCACTGAGGCAGAGTAGCGAAGGTCTTGAAGAAGCTGGGCCACCCCTAAAAGGAAAAGCCCTCCAATCAGGAAAGCCACGTCGGCCACACGTGGCTGAGGACGGAGGCTCCTTAGGCTCCTTTACAGGGTGGGCGAGGCGAGGTGTTACGACCCGTGCCGCGTGACAGCTCGTGGTGTGCCAGCCACAGAATTCACTGGTTTCCTATCCATAGGATAAGAACACACTTGGGAGTTTCAGTGCTTCTAAAAGGAAAGGAGAAAGGACCCCGCCTTCCCCCGTTAGCACAGGTGAAGTCTTTGTGAGCGTGACGACAGTGCAGAGGCGCTTCCCGCGGGATCTGAAGAAGGAGCAGGGCGGACACGGGGTCTCCAAGTCCTATGTACACATTTTACAGAGTTTCCACTCTTCCTCCCTTAGGCACGAGGTTGATTTGTCTAGCTCAGGAGGGGGTGGACACAGAAGGGCGGCGGGAGGGAGGAGCGGGAGGAGGGCGCAAGGCAGGAGAGCGTGGCCTCCTCCAGGGCCACCGGCCCCCCCGGTCCTCACCGTAAGCTAGTTTGTTTGGAGAGCTTAGCACCCATCAAGATGCCTGAGGTGAGAGTCACGGGGGCTTTCATCTGCATGCTGGACCCCACCATGGTGGGGAAGCTGCGGTTCCGCCGGATGCCACTGTTGAGCTGCAGCCCGCCGATGGCACTGGTGACAGTGGGGCATCCCAGGGGCAGGCCCTCGGGTACCAGGCCTCTGGGGACAAGGGCTGGCGCTGGCCCCGGGGGCCCACACAGGATGGGTCCCTGCTCCTCAGTCAAGGTGGGGATGTGGGGTCGCCCTGAGTTCACCACTCTGGCCACCCCGAGCCTTCTGACTTTGTCCACGAGGTTGAGGTTGGAGACGGACACGTCCGTCTGGCTCTCGCTGCTGCGGACACTCTTTTCTCTCACCTCCCTCAGGATGGAGCTGGCCGGCTTGGAAGCCAGGAAGTTGTCGTAGGGGGGGCTCGTGCACTTGAACTCAAAGGAGGGCGGGGAGGACGTGGGCGTTTGCATGGGCGAGTTCGGCGGGGTGGAGGGGATCACGGCCATCTTGGGCACGTAGGAGTGCAGGAGCGAGCCCCGGCCGGCCCTGTCCCAGCTCTGGGGGTCGTACACGGCAGCAGAGATGCCCCGCTCCTTCAGCAGCCACACGAGCCCCAGGGATGTGCTCATGGTGGTCGTGGACTCACGGGTGTTAGTGAAGGACTCAGCCAGGCTCAGTCTCCGTGGAGTGCATGGTGTGGCCACTGGCGTGGACTTCAAGTGGCTGGCGCTGCCACAAGCTGGAGTTGGGGCTGAGTTAAGGCTGGAAGGAGAGATGACAGGTTATTCACCAGAAGTGCCCACAGAAAGCGCCAGTGGCCAGTCTCCTGCAGGGGGTGTGGGGAGACCCAGGACACGATGGGAGGGTTCCCCCAGCAGAGGTCCCCAAAGGTTCCGACCACATCTGCTCCCCTCTCTCACCCTGCAAGGGGAGCAAGTTTCAGTGAACAGGAGGCTGCAGTGACCCCCTTTGCCCATCCCTGGCTGGTGGGTCCAGCTGCCTCCTTTGCAGTTGAAGGAACAGGCTCAGAGCTAGGGGTTTACTTGGTGCCACATCTGGCTGCTAAGTGGACACCACAAGTTGAGTACTCTAAATCCATCTCAGAACAAGAAAAGAAGCCCTTTGGCAAACAGGCACTCTCCCCACCAGATTTACCCAGATTCCAGTGTTCCTTCCTAGTACCTACTTCTCCCTGAAGCAAGACGTGAGCCAGGACTCCTGGAGACGCGACACTTTATCTTAGGAAGGGCAAAGATGGCCACAGCACATGGGCTGTGGCCGGGCTCTGCCCGGGCTGTGCCCCTCAGTCTGCTGTGGCCGTGGGCTCCCGACTCTGGGTGCAGAGCCCCTGCCTCTGTCCCATGCTGCCTTAACCCTCTTTAAATGCTTGCCAAATCCATGCTAACCAGTGGAGTTGGAGGGTCGGAGGAGGCACGCTGCATATGGACAGATCTCCCTCGACGGCACTGCCCAGGGAAGAGACCGCCACAGTGTGTGGAGCCTGAGGCACCAGGGAAAGCAGGAAGATCTGTTCATTCACGCGGGGCGTGCTCACCGGGGACTCACTGGTTCCAGCAGCTGAGATCCAGCCGTGGAGTCCGTTAGGACCGAAAAGTTTCCGGAAGGGCAGCGGAGGGAAATGCATTGCTGTCTGCTTAAAAAGCAGGAAAGGTTCTCTCTTTTTTCATATGTGTAATTGCAATTACCTTTGCACCAACCTAATAGTTTGGTCTCCCTAGGGACTGTCAAAAATTGCCAGTGCTGCCTATACTTCGAGTCACCACTGCGGTGTACTGGGGAAAGTTTCCAGTTGGCAATAAACTTCTTGGCTATGATACTGCCGCCCTGCAAAGCTGGGAGAGGTTCTCTTTTAACAGCTGCTACAGGGTCTGGGGAGGCCGAACAGGCAAGGAAGCTCTGCACTGCATCTAAATGAGCAACCAAGAGCCAACAGGCACTCCCTGCTTCTCAACAAGCAGCCAGGAGGCAAAGGCCACAGCCCTCCTAACTCTGGTGTTTTGCCTAACCGGCTCCAGGGTTTTGCTGGGGCTGCCAGTGCGCCTTGGAGCCAGTCAGCTGTGCGGTCCCCGAGAGCTGAGGATGGAGACTTCTCTCCCCAGCCTGGCGGAAGGAAGTCCACGCACTCTGGGAAAGGCACCAACGGAGGGAAAGGGAAGGAAAGGGCCCGATCTGGGGGCAGGTCTTTGGAATGAGCAGAGAAGGGGCCCCCTCCCTCGTCAGGGATGGTTCAAAACGATATACAAGCTTGCGGCACCATCTGGCTCCATGCTCAGGGACCTCAGCCCTGCAGGTCAGCGTGGCGTGGGCATCCCAGAACGGGCCCGTCTCACACAAGCCCAGGGGTGGGGATGCTGGTGGGCTGGGGGCGCTCAGAGAAGCGTGATTAGAAACCACAGCAGATTCCTAAGGCTAAACGTGGATTTTTTTTCTAAAGGCATGGGTGGAGTTTTACACATGTTGATGTGCCCTCAATAAAGGACAAAAAGCCGCAGACTTGAGACCATGTCAACATGGCCATCCCAAGGGAGACTGTTTCAATTTTGTTTGTTTCAATTGATTTGTTGCCGTTTTATTTCAAGCAGCCTTTCTTTCAAACTCAGGCCAAAAATAAATAAATAAATAAAAATAAAAGCCTTCTCTCGCTACAGACTTCCCAGGCTCAGCTCGGCCTGACAGCCACGTGAAGACCTGTGTTGGCTTGAGTCCTATGGCTACAGTCAGGAGCGCCATCCAGTAACCCAGGGCACCAGCCTCTCACCGGGGATGCTGGTTCCACGGCTCTGAAAACAGCCTCATCCCCACATAAAGCCACAGGACGGGAAGCCACGTTCTCCAGGGGCAGGAAGGAGACGGAGAAGACAAGGCCCAAATTGACAGATCCCCGTCTGGTGAGGACTCAGGGTTAGGCCTGTGTTAGTGCTGGCACTCGGCTTGACTGGGGCGTTTAGATGGGTTAGGGGCATCGACCATCAAGGCCGAGTTAGAACCGCAGAGACACAGCCACGCCTCAGTCCCAGGTTAGTGACGGCCACGCGTGCACACACAGCCCCTTCCCGGGGCGCTGCGGGGCAGGCACTGCTGGTGGTGTGCTCACCCCCTGCCTCGCCCGTGGCCCTACATCTCCTCTCAGCTCAACGGGGCATATGGCTGCTTCGACGTCCTCCTCACATGACCTGCGGAGAATTATTCATAGTTTAAGGTGCCCCCTGGCTCACTGCTCCCGCACCTCCTGCTTGACCTTCCGGCAACCCAGCATCTCACACCACAGAGGAGACAGCTGAGGGGGTCGCCCTACTCTGCTAGGGGAGACCGTTTTCTCTTTTGCTGGAAGCAGTGAAAGGCCTGAAATCAGGCCAAACAGACCAACTCACACCAGACAAGTCCTCCCCATAGACAGTGCTCCGGAGAGAAATGGACCTTGCTGGGCACGTGGCTCAGTCCTGACATCTTCTTATTTTGGCCATTACACTTTGGCTGTGGGGCATGGTTCCTGGGGCCTATTCCAGAGGCATAAGGGCTTCTGCAGGGCTCCGTAGCTCCATCCATAACTAAAAGAATTCTGTGCTCTACTGACAAACTCTGGGGCAAAAATCCAACAGCCCTGTGGTCGGGTCAACTTCAGCTGGTTGAGGACAGGTCTGACAATCCATTCCATGGCCAAGTAAAAGGGCAGCCGAAGGCGGGCCCAGGTCTTTTCATCTGAGCCAGGTCCAGATAAACAATAGACTTAATTCAAAAGGAAAGATGGGCTTGAACCCAAGAGGTGGAGGTTGCAGTGAGCCAGGATCACGCCACTGCACTCTAGGCTGGGCAACAGAGCAAAAAAAAAAAAAAAAAAAAACGATGGGACTCAGAACAAGCGCCCGCAGATCCGCAGATGCTGGCTTGAGTTGGTTTTTCCATGAGCCTCTCTACTTGGCTCTCCACAGCATTAAGCCTTGCAGGCAAGGGAGTGCCCCGACCTCACCCTGCCCCTGCCACCCCAGGCCAGGGTCCCTTACCTTGGTGTGACCCGAGTGAGCTCATCCGAAGGGTGCAGGATGCGGCAGGTGGTGAAGGTGAAGGTGGAGTTGGTCTGAGACATGCACTTCCCAGGATGGTGCGCTACATAAGGAGGAACAAAGCACATCCTTGCATCCAGGTACAACCACAACAAAACTTAAAATCCAGCGTGCCACTCAACAGGTGCAAGAAGCGATGAGCTACCTTGTTCATCGGGTCTGGGCGAGGAAGGTGAAACACAAATGTTCTGGATTGAAGGCGAGTCCTCAAAAATAACCACAATTTTGAGCACTGGTCTGCAGAGCACCGAATTCCAGCTTCCGACCCAGCCAGACAAGGGTTCTCATCAGGATTCTTGGGCCAGTAGTGGATCCAGTCCGGGGGGCGGGAGGCGAGGGGGGCCGGGTAATGGGGCTTTGGGGGGTAATTTTGTTTCCCGCCTCAGGTCAGACCTGCTGTCTTCTTTTGCAGCTTTACATTTCTTTGCATTGGCAACAGGTACCAAAGCTGTGCTCAGGGGAAGGGGAGGGGTCCGGGCAGGGAGAGCCGCTTGGCACCTGGGAGCAGGGCAAGGCTCACAGCTCCCTTTCTGCTCACGCAAAAAGGGGCTTAGGGACGCTGGCTCCACTACTGTCTGCGATCACCATGGCGGGAGACGGGGATTTCAGCTGCCTCGGCAACGACGTGGCAAGAGTTCCGGAGATCAGGGCTCTCCGGGGCCCTAAGCTCCAGGATCGGGTCTGGTCTGACTCACATGGTGTGAGCAGTACGGGTCCCCCGGAACCCCAGCTGCCAGCTGCTTTCCTGACATCGCTAAGATGCCCGATGTCTAATGAAAATGAGATGGCAGCAGGCGCTCCTCAGTTTACTTCCCTTTAATGCTCTAAGGAGCCGTTGCTGAGGCAGCTGAGACTATGGTCTGGAGCAAAGTAAATCATGGAAGTGTTAGGACCATGCATGAGCGAGCTGGCAAAGGAACAAGGAACAGAGTCTGTGGGAGACATCATGATTGACAGGTTCATCCTCATTCATAACTCAAGCATCAGGAAAAAAAAGATGCTGCCCCAAACAGCATGCATGATGAAGTAGTGGGATGACTCTCCCGCCCAGCCCCACCCCGCCCGCTGCCCCTGTAGCAGCTCAGCCCCCAGAGACCTCCTGGGAGAAAACTGATTCGGATATCAGAGGCCATGGGGATTCAAAGGCCACGAAGATTCAAAAGGCTGAACTAGAATCTTCTAGCTCCTTATGGTGTATTTTCTCTTGGATTTGACAAAAAGGAAAAGAACAGAACTGCTGCTGCCCAGACCGGCAGGTCCACACACGGCTGCCCGCGTCTTAGAAGAAAACCAACCAAACAAAACCAAACAAATAAAAAATGCTGGAGACACAAATCAAAGGCAGGCAGGACGAATCCAGAGCACAAAAGTGACGCTGAGTGGAGGAGCGAGGCGAGACGGTTTGTCCCAATTTGGAAGGTCTGGCCCGGGTCTGTGTGCCCACGCAGGCTCCCGTGGCACCTGGCGTGACCGCCAGCACCACGGCCACAGGAGAAAAGTCTCAGCCACGTGGAGCTCCAGACAAAGCAGGAGGGAGGGGGAAAACACACAAAAATGGCCTTTATGAATCTTTCTCGACCAGTAAACATAATGGTTCGGGAACTCCAGTATGTAAGAAACTGCCACAGGCAAAACAAAAATGGAACAAGCTATGAAAAGAGGGCAGCCGACAATCACGATTCTCTTCCTGCCATGAGGTCTAGGAACAGAAACAACAGAAAGCCTGGGGAAGCATCCCAGATAAGAGGCAGGAAGGGTATTTGGGAAGAGGGAGAGGGGAAAGCAGTGAATAGAAGACAGTTGAAAGAGAGACAACATTGAAGAGAAATCAAACAAGGGGAAGCTGGATTTAAAATCAGAAGCATCCCCCCACTTAAACACATGGCCAGAATATCAAATCGAAAGATCGCAAATGTTCACTTCCTCCTCCACCCTTTACATATCGGATCTTCATTTGCAGCAGGGAGCGAAGGATGGATGTTTTAGACACAGCTGCGTCGGCAGAAGCAAACCCATCTTGCACAAGTGGGTTTTGGAGGCAGGAAAAGGCTGCTAAAAATTCGCAAGTCGCCATTCCCCAGAAGCAATCAACAGCTTTAGAAGACCAAGATCAACAAGTGTCCAAAGTGCTAAAGCCAGAGGTTCAGCCCCTCCAAAATACCACCAGGACGCCTGGACCCGCGGGCGGGCTCTCCACACGTCAGCACTGACCACCGGGCCGCTGCTGCACCTCCCTTCCTTGAGACACAACATAGAGACCGTGAGTCACCCCAGACCGAGATGTCAGAGGCCCCTCATGCTTGCTATGGAGCAGCAACAGGCTGACTCCTAAAGCCCTGATGCAGGAGGGAGCAAGTTCTAAACCAAAACAAGACGGGAGAAGCGTCAAACACCCTTCTTGTCAGGAAACGGGGGTGGGGTGAGGGCTCCCTGTGAAGTCACGGAGGCCGCGCCTTGCCCCGCAGACCCCTTCTTTATCTAAACGGGAAGTTCCGTGCAGAAGATGGTATCAGCATTCATCCCATGCTGCTCAATTTGGGGGCTCCAGAAGGACAGGCTTTCTTGGATTTCATGCTTTAATTCCCTATTTGAGTTTTTTCTCTCAACCTGAGTGAAGGGCTTCCTGGTATTGTGAAGAGACGGGCAAACGTTAAATGGGTGAGAGCATTACCAACCACAAATATTTCCATCATTTTACTTGGGAATGGATTTGCGTTTACCAATAAAAACCCCTGATTCTTTTTAAATTGTTTTTCTTCCCCGATTCCGACACTTGTACAAATGTGATAGGCTTGAAACTTAATGAATCCTTGATTATTTAAGATCTTCTCCGGTGATGAACTGCCCGTGGCCAGTGTGCAGATGTTTTGTTCTGAAAACGTACCACATGCAAGCACACATCTTTCCGCTAGCTACAGGGGGATGCGTCGGAGGACTCAGGGTGACAGCCCCCTGCCCCACACACTAACAGAGTGACAGCTCGCTGCCCTCGCTGCTGGACTCCGGAGAGCTTTCTGCCTGGGGCAGGCACACTTGGGAAGTGGCACTGACTGCCATGCTCCTTGAGGGGCCGTGGCGCCTGGGACAGACTGGAAAACTGGATGGCTGGGATCCTTCTGCTGAAGCCAGTGAGGAGGGATCCCCAACAGGGCCCCCACTCCCTGGATGCCCCTCAGACTGCACTAGAGAGAGTGGGTGGCTGCTGCCCTGTGGACGGCTCAAGCCTCCCAGGGAAGACAGGCAGGAGGCTGCGGGTTCCCAGGGCCCAGTGCTTTCATGGTGAGAAGAGAGCGCGGAAGAGCCTGGGTCACTGCGGGGGCCCAGAGCTTCAACAGGGAGAACTCTGCCCATCTGCCGCCCACAAAATACAGCTGGTACACACCTGCTCATGTCGCTCCTTCCCCATCACCCCTGGGAAGAGCTGGGGACAGAAGCTTGCTTCTCTCTAAAGGCCACCATAGAACCCCACCCTTAAAACAACCCTCACGTGAGCTGGAAGACGGGCTTGGTGTGCTGCTATGCGGAGATTTAGGGTGCAGCATTCACCAGACACAGCTGCCTCCGAGGAAGCCCCTGAGGATGGAGACGGCGGTCATGCCACACACCAAGCTGTTTCTCAACAACTCACGTAAGTAACGTCTACACTCGCAAAACACATTTACAGAAGCACCTCGAGGTCTCGGAAAAGGGACTCCGCCTTTGTGACGCACTGAAGGCCTTCCGTGTCCTTTCTGCCATTCTTGGGAAGTGGCCGACTTGTGTCACATAAACCCTATGCCCCTGACCTTCCTGTCCTTTTGTCAACTTGGACATGTCATGGGATGCTGCTGTCACATGACTTGGGTCTGCTTTGCAAGTTCTATAAACTTCTCAACTAACACAGCCCACCCCTCACCCAGTAGTGGCACCCACAGGCCAGCCTGCTGTATCCAAGTAAAAACAAATCTATTGAAAATAAAAGCCATTGTCCATCCAGCTTAAGGGCGTGTTTCAAAGTGTCCCCTGGGACTACAGCCTGCTTTGGATGTTTAGTGCGCAGCTTCTGACGACTTTGTGGCCTTTTGCTTGAGGGATGGAAGGGGGAGAGGGAGATATGTCTTTACCTGTCAACTGCATGAGGAATAGTTCCCTTTCCATCAAACACACAGGGAAGAAACAACGCTTTACCTCTTCCAAAAGACTAAAATACCAGGGCACAGAAGATGCTCTAAAGATGTACCTGTCTCTTCATTATGTCACTCTGACCATGACATTTTCAGGGGAAAAAAAAGTTCTGTGATGAGTTCATGTGGGAAAAGCTCCATGAGACCTGTCTGCCCTACGAGTCGTCATTGTTAGAGTACTGTGTAGGGATTCCCGTGGCTCTATCAGGTGTTTCCTCCGGAGGTGAGGAGTGGGGGGTCACGAGCAGGTTCACAGGCAGCGGTGTGGCTTTCTTGTTTTAGGAAATACAAAGGCGATTTTAAATATAACATGCTGTACAAGATGACGCTTCCAAAGGCCTTGGTTCTGGGCTTCACAGAGGCTTGGGATTTATTTGTTCTCTGCGTTTCTTCACCAGGCCCCTGACAGCTCCTGCAGCTCAGTGAGGCGCCCTTGGGACTTGGGAGGCCAGCGGGAACTTGGGGGGTTTCTATCACAGAGATTTGAACCACATCATAAGACCTTTTTCTGATTTCTGCACAAGTTATTTGCGGTTTCTGCAAAATTAAGTCGACTCTTGCCGCTACGCCAAGTTGCCTACTCTGTTTCATCTAAAAAGTACGTGATTTAAGAGGTGGACAATTTCACAGCACTGTGTGGAGAGGGTCTGAAATCCTCTCAAGTGTCCCTGGGGTATCTTCCAGAGAAAGGGGGATTTTTAGAATGCTGCTAAATGTCAAAAGGGCAAATGTGCAATCTCCTTGTAGTCTTCAGACGCCAACAAGGCTGGCCCCAGTGCCCGCTGTTCTCTCGTCCTTCCTTGGTGCAGACACCGACAGCACAGGGAGCTGGCCTGACCAGGCTGCATCCAGGCTTCCCCCGCTGGCGTTTTCAGGTCTG